AAAACTAAGAGTAATTAATTTTAATGCAAATCAATTATAAGTTATATATTATATTATTATTACTATTTGATATATATAAAATAAATTTATTTAAATAAAAATTTTTTATTTAATAAAATTCATAAGATATATTTGCAGGTGGGTAGGATATAATTGTATAAATTATTTAATATAAGTTTAATTCATATAACTTTTTCTTTAAATAAAAAATACTACTTTCTTTAAGTATAATAATAATAAAAATAATAAAATACAGTATAAATATTAGAAAATAAACATATTAAATTTTAATTAATACATTAATAAATTAATAAAATTGCAAATTTATTATAGTATATATATATCACTTTTAATACTAAAATACTATAATTAATGGATATTTAATATACTGATTTATGCTAAAATTAATATTTATTGCTTATTTTAAATCTAGTAAGTTATCAATTTGTTATTGTAATTTTTAATTTAACACTTTATATTATATGTGTTGTAATAATGTATTATGAGATATATAATTACCATTCTTATTATATAGAATAGTAAAAGAGATAACTGACTTTAATAATCTATCATATATTATATTTTATGTATTTATACCAATTCATTTTTTCTGATATAAGTAATAAAAGTCAAAAATTTTTATATACTAACAATCTGATAATTATTTATCTCACAATGCTTAAAAATAAGTAATGCATTAGATTTACAATAATAAACTAAATTGTATCAAAGTACGACAATTAAAGTAACTTTAATAGGATCTTAAACATTTTTATTAATATAACTTATAGATAATTAGCATAAATTTATTATAATTTTATGCAATTGTTTTTAATTAGAAATTCTATACAATCTACAATTTTAATTTAAAAAATAATTCAAAATACACAAATCTAATACTTTAATCAAATTAAAAATTTGTGATTTATTTTTTCTAATATATATATATGTGTGTATAAAATTTAGTTTTTATTTATAAATACAAACCATATTCTAATCTTTATTTATTACATTATCTTTTATTAAATTAGTCTTAAACTATTGCTCTTTTTATATTTTTACAATTAAAATAATTATATACATTCTTTTCAAAACTTTTTAAATTTAAAGAATTTTTGGTTACAATAACATTTTATATCTTGTACTTGCAAAATAATATATAATATTAATATTAAGACAGTAAAAACTAAAACTCATACTATTTTTTTTGTAAATAGTTCAGAAGAAGCTGAAAAAACTTTTTTATATAGGTAAAAATTATTTTGTCTTATATTAGTTAATAATTATATCTGATATATATATTATATATTAATTTTAATTTAATTATATATATATATATATATAGCAATTTATTTGCAAAAGTCTGTTTGAATAAATATATTGCTCTTGCTGTAGCATCTTCAAGTATTGCTGCTTTTCTTTTACCAGATAGCTGAATAGTATATTCCTATTTTAAATACCTCTTAAAAATTGAAATATATAAAGATTCTATCTATGTATGCTATAAATAAAGTTCTAAATAAATTAAGTCAGGTTAGATTTATTAATAAATCTGATCTGAAATTTTTTTGGATCAGGTCAGGTTAGGTTATATCAGATTATTTGTTTAATCTGACTTAATCTGAAATCTGAAAAATTTTGGATTAATCTAAACAATTTTTATTAAATTATTGAAAAAAATGGTGTGAAATGTTTTTTTTAATATTACATTATAAAAAAATGTTTTTACAACATTTTTCAATAAAATATCAAAAAAATGTTACAAACCATTTTTTTCTAATATAATATACATGCCATTCAAATTATTTTGGGCTGTCGTAATTATAAGTAAAATCCCAAATTTAATTATAACATCCCAAATTATTTTAGCACTTTACATAGTAAATTATATATAAATTGAATGAATTATGGCATCTCAAATTATAATTATGCCATCCCAAAATAATTTGGACAGCATGTATATAATATAATATTATAGAAAAATATTTTTATAATGTTTTTAATAAAATATCAAAAAAATGGTATAAAACATTTTTTCTAATATAATGTTATAGAAAAAACGTTTTCACAATGTTTTTAATAAAATATCAAAAAAAAATGATGCAAACCACTTTTTTCTAATATAAATTTATAGAACAGTAAAATATCAAAATATATTGTGAAATGTTTTTTTAATATAATCTTATAAAAAAACATTTTTGCACCATTTTTTAATAAAATATCAAAAAAACTATTGTGAACTATTTTTCTAATATAATCTTATAGAAAAATGTTTTTGCAACATTTTTTAATAAAATATTAAAAAAGTTGTTACAAAATATTTTTTCTTATATAATCTTATAAAAAAACATTCACAGCATTTTTCAATAAAATATCAAAAAATATTGCAAAATGTTTTTTTTTTTTAATTGTAGCAGGACCCAGAAATATATATATATGGGTCAGGTGATAAAAAAAATTTTTTACTATGAGCTGTACGCATTTTTTCAGAGCCAGAATTATGATAATGTCAGTCAAATACTATAATAGGAAATAAAATTCTGACCAGCATTATCAGAAATTATAGAAATTATCTAAAAAAGGAAAGATTTTTATGATTTTTTTAGTTCAAAATACGCAAACTCAAACCTGACCCTTTTATATATATTTTTGGGTTCTATCGCAGCGCATTTACAATTTTATTAAAGTAGATAAATAAAATAAAAAATATAAATACAAAGTATTATTCTAAAAACTACTCTAATATAATTAAACTACAAACCACTCGTCATATGTAAAGTACCCCACATGTGCACTGTCAAGTGATCATTAGACTCTGTAAGTAGATTACATTTGTAATGTATCATCTTAGCTTTAAGGCCCTATCTTCTATATCAGGTAATCATAGGACTCACAAAATGTTTTTTTTAATATATTATTATAAATAATAAAATATTGGGTTTAAATTAACAGATCATTCAGGTTATATTAATATTACAACCTGAACTGATGCAATTGCTAAACCTGAACTGATAAATTCAGGTCAACCTATCAGATTACCTGAATTTGGTTAACCTGTTTAGAACTCTAATTGTAAAACATGATTTTGATTTAGCTTCACTTTTGCAAATTACACAACTTATCATTTGGGATGAAGTTCTAATGGTTCATTAACATGTGTTTGAAGTTGTAAATAAAATGTTAAGAGATATTATAAAAACTGTAGATTTATCTTTAGAAAATAAACCATTTGAAAGTAAAGTAGTGATATTTGAAGGTAATTTTTGCTAAATACTTCCAGTAGTAATAAAGAAAAATTGTAAAGAGATTGTAGGATTTTGCTTATAATGATCAGCATTGTGAAAACATGTAAAATTAATGACATTAAAAACTAATATGTGTCTTTTTTGTACTATAAATGAACCAGATATTATTGAACAAAAAGAATTTGCCAATTGGTTATTAAAAGTTGAAGATGATCAAATTCCTACTATTGATAGATCAGCAAGTAAGATTATTTAACTTCCAAATAATATTGTTTTATAATTACAAGACATCAATAATTTTATTCAATTAATTTATCTAAATCTACTATTTATTAATTCAAATTATAAATATTTGGTTAAATGAACCATACTTGCACCAATAAATGTGGATGTATATTCTGTTAACCAACCATTATGAATCAATTTCCTGGTAAAGCAGTTGCAATAGAAGAACAACTGAATTAAATTTAGAGTATCAGTATCCTATTGAATATTTAAATTCCATAACAATTGGTGAACTTCTACCTCATAAATTAGTATTAAAAAAAGGATTTCCAACTGAATACTATTATTATGAAATATTAATTCATCAGATGGCCTGTATAATGGGACAAGGTTGGTTTGTTGTTCTTTTCAGAAAAATGTTATTGAGGCAGAAATTATTACTGGAAGACATGCTGGAAAACATGCTTTTCTTCCACATGTTATTCTGTCTCCTACAAATGCTACTTTACCTTTCACTTTTAAGCATTGTCAATTTCCAATACAACCAACTTTTGTAATAAATCACAGGGTCAGACATTAAATTGGGTTGGATTGTATCTTCCAACTCCTATGTTTGCCCATGGACAATTCTATGTTGCCTGTTCAAGGGTAACAACAAAAAAATTTTTAAAGATCATTACCACTAAAGATGATAATAAATTGTACTTATAATATTCCAGAAGTTTTTCAATAGCTAGAAATTATAGAAATAAATGTAAATTTATTTATGTAGTTAGTTTATTATTTTTTATATATAGATTTATTTTACATTACAATTATTATTTTATATAAAATAAAGCATAGAATGTTAATGTAGTCAACAGGTACTACTAGTTAATATAAAAAAGTGAATTCCAATAACTAGGCTGTGTTGCAACGTCAACAACAACTCGTTCCTGCTTGATTTTCCCGACATCACAATTGAGTTCTGCATGAGTTTAGCCTTTACTTTATCACTCTGCTCTAATTTTGCGAGTCTGGCCTCATTCTCCTCCATAGCCTGCCTTAGCTTAGCATTTTCAGCTTTAACCTCGGCATTCTCGGCCAGGAGCTCGATGACGCGTTGTTTCAATGAATCAAGTTCGGATTGCATATTCGATAACACCCTTCATATAGAACGCGATTTATTTAAAATGCATTTTATCCAAGTGGGACTTTAGGTTTCACTTTTTTATCACAATACGTCTCCATATCCCACGAAAAATATATTTGATACAATGTATAAATTCTTTATTGATGTAGTAAATAAATTACAAGCGAAACGATGTTTCTACTTTCTACATTAATTCTAAATTATCTATACTAACATATTATTCATAATCCGGTTTCTTTTGGATAAAATAACTTGGTCGTCGGTTACGATATATATTTATGAGAAATGCAGTGTCGGAAATAAATTAAAATTAATTTTAGTGGAGCCCTCGACAAAAAAAAGCCACATTTTTGCGCAGTTATCATGACTGATACACCATTTACTTTATATAGTAATCTGCAGTATTACGTAATCGTGAAATACCAAATAATATATAATCCTCGCGTGTATACAATAATTTTCACCTTTTTTTCTAAAACTGACTAAAATGGATATTGAAACCGCAAGGTCCGAATTAACACTTTAAACTCTAGAAATTATGGGCTACACGAATTATTATTGGAAATAAGCGAAGAGAATGAAAGTGTACTGGGGGAAATGGTAGAACATTTATGAAAAAGCACCAGATGATCTTGCAAATTCTATAGTTGTCCTAAAGAGTCATGCGGAACGATTAATTAAAATAATGAAAGAACAAATTCTATCAATAAAAGTGTTTTTATTTTAATGGGTGAATTATTAAAAATATTAGAAAACAAAAACGCCTTAAGTGACTATCGCGATTGGATCACGTATTTTAATCTTGCATTAGAAACGAAGTTAGAACCAAAGATATGGTCAACAGTAAAGTTTGCCGTATATAGGAAAGTTACGGATGAAAAGGAGAATTGCGCTGAAAGGGAAAAAGAACCTATTTCACAACTGGAAAACGTTTTAAAGGGTGTCAACATGTCAATTTATGAATACGAACTGTTAATATGGATGAAAGATAAAAGCAACCGCGAATTCCATAAAGATAAACGGCAAACTCGAAAACAGGCGGAACTTCAACTTAAAGAATCTTTTCCTAAAGACATGATGGTTTTAAAGGAACCTTTACAAAAGGGTTTGACGCTCTCAATGTCTGGGATGAATAAGGAGAAAAACTTTTTAAACATTACTTATCACTCAATATAATAATTTCACACTGTAGAAGCACAATATTTGCATTCGTGATGTATATCTGATTCACACATCAACATAGATTAGATACATCATAAACAAGCTATATCTTTTTTTACTTATTTATTTCTGTACATGTAAGCTTATTCTTTCTGCATTTTTATCCAACAAATAAAACAAAATTTATATTTGCAAATTATAACTCTTTATTATAAAAATGAATAAAAAAATGATGGTGTTCAAGGGTCCTAAATTACATGTCTCAGTAGACTTTAAATTATATATTTAATTACTACAACTACAATGCAGGTGTGACTACGAGTACATGATATCACGTACTTCCACATAGTCATGGATGTCACGTAGTCATAGACTCATGTAATCACAATAACTGCAAAGCGACTACATACAGTAAATCATAATAACGTAGATCCTTTTTATTTTTACCTTTTATGAAAATCTATACCTCGATCAAAGGAATCTCAAAATTAGAATGGCCTTGCCAGGGTGAATATGATGGATATATACGTGCTCGACCATTAACTCATTTTGGAGAATGGAACAATTTTTCGTCATCACATGTAGTCAAACTTTGGAACACGTCTCTTCGCCAACCTCAACCATCAATATCTCAATATACTACTCCGGAAACCCATTGGACTATGTCAATTGCAGTAGAATCAGGCAAGCTGATTGGCATATATATATCTAAATTGATAAAATTGATGATTATTTTTCAAATATTCTAGATCTAATAGAAAAGGACGCTGGTAATGTAAGATAGGATGATTGCTCAAAGTATGCATGATGAGCTATTAAAATACGTTGAAGCTGGTGAACTTGAAGAAGAGGACATCCCAAAAGCCAATACCATACAAAATTGGATAAATACATATGCCCGCGTTTTTAAAGAAAGAGCTACTGAGCACGATTGACTAATGTGTGTGAAAAAGTATTGAGTTTATCAGAATAGAAGTTGTTACAACTTAAAATAAAGTAAATATGCACAAAAGTTTGGTGAAATATAAAAAAAAAAATTTTTACGCTTTGGTGGCTTTGAAAAATAAAAGTATGACGTTTACTTTATTGTTTGTTGCTATTTTAGTAAAATATGTAAATATGTTTTGCCAAAATCAGTGTATTACGACAAATTAGTAAATGATCTGCGTCAAATTTAGACGTAATTTTCTCGTTTTAACTGTCTTTTCATCGGAAAGATCACTATTTTCCACTTTATTTTTCTCAAGATAAGCTATAAGTTTTTGTAATGTAAATATAATCGCAGTCTGTTATAAAAAAATTGACAATAAGTTACTAGATTCTTAAAACACACATTCTTAAAAATACCTTAAAGTTAACAACGAATAGATTGATGGATAAATTGTCTCGGTTGATACTACAGATGCAGTTGGAACTCAATCACATTGGGATGGGCCGTATCACAACTGAGTTATAACTAGTTATAACTCTTTACTTTAGGCAAATTGGAGCTGGTAAATGCGCCGTAGCTGCTGGTGTATGTGCCGTAATTGGTATATGTTGCCGCAACTGGTATATGTGCCGTAAATAGTCACTATAACTTGTGTGTAATATTTAATTTTCTTAAACATATTTATTTACATACTTTATTTTATACTTTATAATATATCATATCATTCTAATTATTCATTCTTTTTCTCCTTCATTATTATTAAAATTATTGTTCCATGAAATTTATAATCAAAGAAGTTATTTAAAATCAGTATGGAAACTTTAAATTTTTATAACAAATTCGGAGAGATTTAAAAAATTATACTGTTAAGCCATATATACTATTAAACTATTTTATGCTATCTACTTAGACTATTTATACTCTACGGCGTCATTGGCCACAGTAAAAGTTACGGCATTAATAATAATAACATTAACGGCACATTTGGTTCACACGGTTTTGCCAATTCATTGGGAACTGCATCACTAGTTGATACCATATGTAATGGTATAGTTGCTCGAGTTAACAGAGGATACCGTGTTCCATATTCATGCTGTAAATCCTTAAATCATCTCCTAAAAAATATTTCTCATAAGAATATATATAATAACGAATTAATTTACATTACACATACCTGCGACAATGATAGAAAATATTGACAATAGATTACTTAATATAAGACATGCTCTCGCGTAATCCATTGAATTTTTACTAAGACGTGCCAACTTTAAACGGTCTTGTTCTTGTTTTCGTTTATGAGAATTTGGGCGACCCGTTTCCATGTTCAGAATATTTACTCTTTCGTTATTCACGTATGCAATAAGTTTGAAGTCCGGTCTGCGCTACCTTTTGCACAGCATCAGGCCCAACTAGTATCAACAATAATTTTTCCAAAGTACTGTATACTGCGGTTCATCTAATCATTTAAATATGTAATATGACATAATTTTAAATCAATAAATGTCTATCCAAACATTTTTCTCATCCAACCATTTTTTTCTCATCCAACCATTTTTCTCATCCAAACATTGTTTTCTCACCCAAACATTTTTTTTCTCGTCAAAAGATTACCAATGGAATGTCAACAAGGTCAACAACAAATCGTAACTTTACAACAGCAACAGTGGTTCGTAACTTTAAAATGGTAGTTCAAAACAATAACTGGTAAAAAAGTGTTTCTGTACCGTTTTTTTTCTAGTCAACATATCAATAAATCTGTATATTATATCTTTAGATTTCGTTAGTTTTTTTATGAAAGTCGGTGGAATCATTGGATTTCTTGTATCGATGATATCATTAGTAATTTACTCAATCCGAATAAATTACGTATGTACAGTAACTACCTTAAATGATGCCACCTGTTCATATAATAACATCTTGATTTTTTAGGAAATCAATATCATGAACGCAAATTTAAGAAAAGACATTAATTCAGGGTTCGAAAGGATCGATAATAGATTCGATCTTATCGATAGAGAGAAATGCTGTAATAAATAAAGAAATGTCCAATATTAATAGTAAAATTGATATACTTAATTATGAAATTGATAACAAGATGAGACTAAGTCTCCCTTCAAATTTTTCAATCAATGCAACTTATAATAGAAGATGGTGGTAGGTAAGAATTTGTGAGTCATATTGAATAATTTTGTTGTTTGATTAATCTAAATTATGTCAGTTTTATTAATTTACACCCATCACTCTCCAACATTTCTCAACATAATTATAGATAATTTAGACAATACTCCATCACATATAAACAATTCTTATTCAAATCATTGACTTATAATGCATACTACTTTTTTTTTTTTTCTTTTAATTAATTATTAGATTTGCTTTTTATGTAACTGTATAAACAAATATTTTATATTCTTTTGACCTTGACTTCTAGCTATATTTGATAATATTAGAAAAAAAACTTTTTTATACTACTACTCAAATATTATAATTATTGCTTCCAAATATTAATACTTAATAGTAATATTAACTTAATTATTGAGTAATTTCTTAGAGTTTTAAATTCACAAGGATTCTATAAATTGCTATAAAACCTTTAAGGATCTCCAATTTTATGAATTTCTTAAAAATCTTTTAATAAATTTTAAGGATCTGATTTTGCAAATTATTGAATTCTTTAAAGTTCTCTAAAGAAAAAACTTTAAAGAATCCTATTTTTATAAATTGAACTTTATATTCATAGGGGTACAGTAAATACTACCTCCACTTTTAATATCAAATTTTTTTGAAGTAGACTCATTGGAAACTTTTGATATATCATATACATATGAACAATTATTCATACTGATTACTTTTTGAGATTTGGTTAGTTTATTAGTATAAAGGTTTATTATATTCTGAAATTATCCCAATTTTATCTAACCCTATTCCTTTAAATAATGTATAGATATTTTGAGTTTGAGTTTTTTAAGTCATTTTATGCAAATATTCTCTCTTAAAACCATATTATTTTATTGTAAATCTGTGTTTTTGCTATCTAATTACTAATATTATTTTTCAAAACTAATAGTTATAACCCTTTTTCATATTTTTTACTATAATAATACTAAACTAAATAAGGTATAGAACCTAGCATTTTCCACAATTTCCCAGCATTTTCCAGAATTTATTTGCTAGTCATAAAATTTGGTAAAAATATATATTAAATCTTGTTTCACTTTTTGATTATAATAATTTTTTTGGATGGAATGTTTTGCTTATATATTTTTAGAAGATAATTTCAACTTATAGAATATTACTGACTCTGCAAATAATTTCTTTAAAATCAATACTTTGACTATCTATTCTGAAAAAATTACAGTTCAGTATTAGTCATAAAGAAATTTGTTATACAACTAGTATTAATTACTGGAAATAATTCCTGGATAATTAATTCATCTTAAAGTTTTTTTTTCTGCTTTTTCTGCCTAATATCATCATTAACCTTTTTCTTATACATCTTATTTAGAAAAGCATCCATTTTTCTATTCTTTAATAATTCCTTTACTTATATTCTAATAATTTTTATAAAATGCTTAATTTATTAAAAGTTAAAAGAAATGCAACACCTTTTTTTTTGATAGAATGCTATTTTATAAGAAAACTATTTAATTAATATATGTTAGAATTTACATTTTTATAAATTATATAATAAATAATTTACATATTAAATTTAATTCAATATTATATATAATTAATGATTAATAATCAAAATGTTATGTTACTTTTGATATATAAATTTTTATTGAGTATAATATTAAAACTGCAATATTTTTACTATTTTACTAAAATTAATTTTAAATTAACAAATTATTCAGATTATATTGATATTATAATTTGAATTAATATCAAATTGCAATTGTTAAATCTAAATTAATAAATTCAAATATTATTTTTAATATTTTTGATAGTTTATAATTTAAATGAAAAATATTAAATCTTATTTAAATAAAGAATAAAATATAATAATAAAATAAATTATAAATTATGTAATAAATTATATAATTAAGAAAAGTATAATTATAAAAGAAGTAAAAAACAGTAAAAACAAGTATTTTAAATTTGATTAGTTTATCCTATTTTATATAAACTGAATTTAAGCCTTTTTCTTTATTTTATAAATTAATTCTTTTTTAATGTAATATTTTTTAGAGATCTTGCCTATTATTAATAAATATCATTGTAGAAAATTTAAACTTTTATATAAAACCTTACCTTAGAATTTGCTTAAATTCTATTGGTTAATTAGTTAAAAGAAAAAAAATTACAATAATAATATAAAATTTTCTTTTATAGTAGGATTTTGATTTTCAATAAATTTTTTGCAAAGTAGTGTAATTCATGAGTTTATTAGTTATATGAAAGTACAGGAATGTCTGCTAAATGTATAACTAATCTATTAAAACTCTGAACCAGTTCCCCATCCTATAGATTGCTCCTGTGCCCTACCATCACCAATAAAATTTTAGATTTTTTATTATAATTGTAATTATTTAATATAAACTATTCTAAGTATATAATTATAAAAAAAATTAATTAACTACTGTATATCATAGGCTATATATAATATATCTCAAAAAAAAGTCACAATAATCCAGCAAATATTTTAAGTATGATATATAATAATATTTTAATTATTTTATAAATTTAAACATTCTCTATTAATAGTAAAAATTCATATAATAGGAGGGATACAGAGTTAAACTTCTGAAATTTGCAAGATACTTAAGGTACTGTGATTTGCAATATATGGTATATAAAATTATATAAAATTTAGCAATTTTAATTAAATAATCTATTCAAAATTTAATAATTTTTAATTAAATAATCTATAATTAATTATTTTAATTAATTGTTTTTTTTTTTGGCTGCATATTTAGATATTTTATTAGATAAGAAAAACATATAATTTATTATACATTTATATAAAAATTAAACAATTAATCTAATTAATTAAGTACCAAACCACCTGTTTATTTATAACAGAATAACTATGTGTATACTGTCAGTTGGAATTCTAGGTTAGAGAAGTAACATTTTAATTATTTTTAATTAAAAATATTAATTAAAATAATATAATTTATATAAAAATAATTACTAATTGTTTATAAATTTTTTTTACTAATTATTCTATTGTAAATTCTTTAATAATTGCAAGAATTGTTATATCTAATAGTTTAAAATGAATTATTTTATATGTATTTTACTTGTATAGGAAAATTTGATTAATTAATAAGGTATATATAGCTATGTAGAGTCTATTTTAAAGGATGTTCTGTTTAAGAATAATTTTTTTTTAAAAAAAAAATTAATATAAAATTTAAACTTTTAGGTATACATTTTAAAAAGTTAAACTATTCAAAAATAAGCAATGTTTTAATAAAAATATGTTACTTATTTTCAGAGGAATATGGTATTTAAATTATTTAATTAATTTAGATATCTAAAATCTTTTTATTGATAAATTCTTAATAAAAATCTTTTTTATTAAATTAAAAGAAGTATTGGAATACTAATTTTAAAAATCTGTTAATATTTTATTCATATTATTAAATAATAGTTAATATATTATTAATATTATTCCTTTTGTATTAACAGGTAAATTTAGAATATAACAATAACTTAACTTTGGAAAGATATAATTCATAATTACAAAAAAGTAATATAGTAATATATATATATATTTAATAATAAACAAATTTAAGAAAATCTTTATAGTTTTTTTAACATCCCTACACTTTATAATAGTAAAATGAAACTATTAGACCAAGAATTTTCCAAGAGTAAATAATAGCAAGACCATAATATTCGGATATCAACAATATGATTTGATAAAAATTTTATATATTTGTGAATTTTATATTTTGAATAAAGTTTTGAAAACTTTTTTTTATTATTCTAATTATCTAATTATAGCAGACAATATTAAAATTTTTTTTTTTAAAAAAAAAAAGATTTTTACAATCTTCTTACTTTTGTAAATTATATATTACAATATTAAAGCTTTTACCAATTAGTAAAATATTTAGAAACATAAAAAATTAGGTTTAGATGACTGTTGGAAATCTGAATGAAAATAAATAAATAAGAATAAAAATATTAATTATGTCAACCATTTTAACGAGGTTTAAATATAAGAATAATAATAAGTCCAAAAATTAGTAACAGTAAAAGTAGGATTATTTTTCGATTTCTAGTTTTCTTTTGGTATTGTGCACCCTAAAAAACAATAAAAGAAAAATGAAAGGTTAGGGTTAGATTTATCCATAGTTTTTTTTATTAAAAGAATCTTCTTACCTTATCTAACTCTCTGACAGCGGATTTAACATTAACACTCATTTGTTCAACATTATAATCAATTCGATCTAATAATGTTCCTTGATCAATAACAAGCGATTGAAGCTCTCTAAAAATTTCCGCTATCGTATGTATAGATTTTGCGATTTCAATTATTTCTCGTTCTCGCTGCGAAATCACTGCTTCCGAAGATTCCACACGTGCAAGTTGACTTGACGTAAATCCCTATATTATATAAATTAAATTAATCACTTATTCGACTTAACGTTCCCATTAAATTAAGGGTTCCCATACCAATTCCAAATCATCCTCATTCGAATCATTACTTTCTATTAAAAAAAATTTCGAACCCTTAGACTCTCTTCCTTTAAGTTCTATAGATTAATAGCTTTAATTAGTTTCTTCTCTATTTAAAAAATCAATTCCCAAAACAATATTATGAAAATTACTCTTCAAATAAGATGCTTGCTGTTTTCGAAAACTTGATGATAATTCTTGTAATTTTGAAGCTAATGAAGTTTGAATGTTTTTGCTCATTGCTCGCTCTTGATTTGGTGCTATTGATGATAAACTCTCATTTGCAATTCGTTTAATTTTCGATTGGCATTGTTGAAATAACTAAAAAAAAAAAAAAAATTAATAATGTCGATTATAATTATAATCAAAAAAAAGAATATTAATTACATGTGTTATTTCGTCTGTTAATCGTTCAATTTCTTTTTCTTCTTTGGTTCGATCATCAAATCCCGGAAGAATATGTTTCTTATGAAGGGATTCTAGCGTTGGAACTATAAAATTAAATTAAAATATTAATTAAAAATTAGAGAAAAACTTTATTAAATATAGATTTGACATTAAAAGGCTAACTTAAAGACTTACGAAGATTTTTTATTTGGTCAATATCATCGTCCACCTCGTCAACTATATCTATCCTATAATGAGTGATGATACAATAGTTTAGGAAATATAATTTGTTCAATGATCTAAAGTTTTATGGCCATAGATCTAATAGATCAAAGAAAATTGTAGTCACCATTTTGGCGGTAAAACAGTAAGTTCTATGACATGATCTGAACTTTCTATTAAACCAGCTTGTTCTGATGTATTATATGCATCATAACCACTCGATGTAGCTAAAGGTCGAGAATGGTTTCTTGCGAAAGTATTACGATATTTTAAAAACAGGAGTGTTCGGCTTCTGGTCGCCATAGAAAAATTTGTATGTTGTCGGATTGCTACATTAGTGAAAAACGTAATTTCACCAAAATTACGGTTGTACAAATTAATTATTTTTAATGCCCAAAGTACAGTATATAAATTATATTTTCAAAGATCATTGAATTAGAGCAGAGTTTCTCTCGTTTCTTGTACATTAATTAAATTGGCCACTTAAATAATTATACTAAAAAAAGTAATTTGGTTGACAACTTTTTATTTAATATATTTTACAACTTTTTCATTATTGTTCATTCTAATTGTCTAAAGGAATAAAGTCAAATTTAGAAAAATTGGAATTTAGCATTTATGGTAATAAGAAACTTAGATCAGTACCTACTTTTTAGCACACATTTTATTTAAGGGTTTTTAGCAAGGTAGCCAAAACCAAAAAGATAAAACTTGTTAAAATAATAGTTGGATTTGGAAAAAGTAATTCAGAATTTTAAATTAGTTATTAATTGTAAAGATTACGTTTATATATTTCATTTTTGCTATATAAGTTATATAAGTAGAAAATTTAATAACCCAGTTTTTAAGTTTTAAAAGTTTTAAATAAATGAACAATTCCAAATCATAATTGAGCGGCATCAAATTATAGAGATTTTAGAGACGAAGTTCTTGTTTCAAAAATGGTTATACGATATATGAAAAATGGCGGGAGACGTATTTGTCACATGTTGCGAGAGTTTATCACGTTTTGAAAAGAGTCTTGGAGGTGATGTTAAAACGACAACGGCCGGGAGACTTTCTTCTTGGATTAATACAAGTATAAATTTGCTAAACTGTTTTTCGATCCATTAAAAAACGGATAAGTGGACAAATTTTATTAACATATTTTACGGGTTACATAGAAAGACGTGTTCTGATTTACTTATCCATCTATATTGATACTATATTTTATTGTATGTTTACATTTTACAATTAATTGAATTATTTCATAATATTTGAATTTAATGTAATATGATGTATTTATTACTTCCTCTTTTCTATTTTCATACGCCTCAGAAACTGTCAGCACATTAAGCACATTAGCGTGTTGATATAGTAATTTCTTAATTATGTGTGCATATTTTTTTTTTTTTTCGTGCTTATATATTATTTCAAAAGATTTCTTGTAGTATTTTTCCCAAACATACTTAATTTTTAAAAATCTTTACCATCTTTTCTTTTAATCATGTCAAAGATTGACATTTTCAGGCCTAATCTTTACAATTTCAAGCTAGATTTTGAACAATTTATTCATGATAAGATCATACCTCAGAAAAAAGTTGAACAATCACATGGTTTGTATTACTAAATACAAAAAATATATCTTATCCCTTCAACTTTTTTAAAAAAATATCATTATTATTAGATGCAATAAAAAAACGACGAAGCGCTAATGATATCGTGTGTAAACATTGGTTAATTGGATCATGTTTTCGTATTAATTGTCCTTATTTGCACTCTTACGAATTCGATCATATGCCATTATGTCCTACTTTGAAGAAATTTGGATCATGTAACAGAGAAGTTTGTGTATTTTCTCATAGTCAGAGTATTAACAGTAATAAATCTCGAAAAGAATGTCGATCTTATAAACGTGGATTTTGTAAATACGGTAATTAATAATAATAATATTTTTCATTAATTTATTAATTTGCGTTAAATTACTTTTGTATTGTAAAGGATCAACTTGCAAATATAAGCATACACGTCGTGTTTTATGTGATCTTTACTTGACAGGATTTTGTACGCGGGGACCAACATGTTCAAACGCACAGTATGTATTTTGGATTATTAAGAAATTCCTTCTTAATCTTCTATTATGACTGTGAGAGATTTTAAATTTTTTAAAATCTTTTCTTTTTTTTTTAGTCCAAGGCACTTTACCAATTCTCTAAAATACAGAAACACACGTAAAAGCATGGTAATAAGCTTACCAAATTAATTATAAAGATTATAAAAAGGCCAAACTATTTCTTTTTCACATAATCAAAAGCATAAAAATTTTGGATTTTCAATATTACTAAATATTTAATTAAATTTTAGATAATTAATTAAACAAAGTAAGCAAATACAAATATTAATAGAAGCGCTTAATAGTATACTTTTTAAGATAGCACAAAGCATAATTTGATTTCTTTGAAGTTATTAAATGATGAAAAATAAAAAAGAAAATTTTATATCTCTAGATTGGTTTATCGGTACTTTTAGTAGGAATTTGAAGGAATTTGTTGAATGAATAAAAAATATTAATTAATGATCAGAATAAAATTTGTCAAATAATACACGTAATATTAAATATTTACCTTGATAAAACCAATATCCTTGGAGTATTCACGAAAGCATTGACGGCAAACATTTAGATTGTATTTACGGATCAAGCCAGCGCGATGAGCGCACACCCGACTTTTATCGTATCAAGTAAAAAATGAGTATCAATTGTAAAACAAAAAAAAAACTCCTAAAAAACTTTACCATTCGCGAGAGCCCTTTCCATAACGACGAGGACGAGAGAACCAAACTTGATCGTGAGCCATCTTTTACGATTGTATGCCGTACTTTTATATATACGTTTATTAATTTGATATCGAATCGCTTTCGATGTGTCAGAGGAGGATCTCACTTCATCAAAATCACTGGTAAGAAAAAAAGATGATTATCTCGTGATATTCATGTGACTATTATTTTATTGGTCACAAATGACTTACGATCAACGATTTATTTGCTTTCTAGTAAGTTTCCAAAATCATCACTTTTTTTTTTTTTTTCTCCTCGTCCTTATCGTCCTTATCGTTCTTATCAATATAGGTTTTTCCCCACTTTCTTATATAATAAAGAAACCGCTTGTCACGGTAGGGTGTGCTCTGTGGGTTTACCGACTAGTGGTAAGTTAGTCGGTCTATCCTTGGCCATCTGCTGGGACAGGTATATGTATTGTTTTATTTTCAAGAAAAGAAGGAAATGAAGACCAGCATTCTTGAGGCCTCGTTTGTACCAGTAACGGTTATGGAAATAGCAAGCTTATACACCTATCTATGAGTCAACACGCCATACCATCCAGCAACACAGCAATATTATTTTATCTCAGGTGGTCTTGTCCACAGAGAGGGTCTTTAGTAGTTATGGGCTAAGCGTTGTGTTTAGTTCCTGGCGAAGTAAGGGGGCCCCGCATGTGATAGATGTGCACGTAACTATCTGTGACAAGCTGCCCTTTTTCCCCCTTTTTCTTAAAAAAAAACCATACTTTGCACTGCTGTTTATCGGCTTAGTGCTTTGCGTTTTTTATTTTGCTGTGTTGTTGCTTTTTGTGTTGCTCATTGTTCTTTTTATTGATTTTATCTTTCTCTCCCTATATATATTATAGCTTTACTCAATTTTTTGGCAAGTGGCAACGATGAGAAGTGGTTGCCATAGCCCAAAAATTTTATCAAGTTAAATAAATGATATGTATTATTCATAAATCATGTATTATTTTTATTTACTCCTGTACTACTTTAATGTTTTAACCTTCAAATATAAGAATTTTTTTTTTAAAAAAAAATTATTATCGTTAGAGTCGTTAGAATTAATAAATGTATATAGCAGTTTATTTGTAACGTTAATGTATTTTTTTTAATTTTGCAATAAAGAAACCAATAGTATCATAACCGCTATTAATACCAGGATCAAACCTTTGAACCATAAATCTTTGAGTTTCATTTAATCCGGTACCTACAAGACCTGGATCACCAAGTTTTATTTCAGGTTCGATGAGAGATAAACCAGGAAAATTTTTTAAAGCCCAAGAAATAACTTGTTCATTTTCTGCTGGATTAAACTAAATGTAAAAACATCACTCGTTAATAATCTTTTTTTTTTTTTTATTATATTAGTTAAGGTTTTTAAATACTTAACTGTACAAGTTGAATATACTAGAACTCCATTAGGTTTTAATAATTTATAGGCAGAAGTGAATAGTTTCTTTTGATAATCCGGTATAGTAATGGTTATATCTGATAATTTTACATTAATTGAAAAATTTGGGCGTTGACCTTTTTTTTTTTTTAAAAAAAAAAACAATAAGTTATTTATTCATTATTTTTATCAAAAAAAAAGTTTAAGTTCGATCTTACCAAGATTACTACAGGGAGGATCTAATAATATACGATCAAAAAATTCCTTTGGAAATCCTTTAATTTGATCACCACACTTCAAATCTTTAAGATTAAAATTAATTACCTCATTGTCTGATAATATAGATTTTGTAGCATCTAACACAAAAGATTTTACCAATCGTTTTACACCACATCTAACAGCATTTTGATTAATTTTATCAACTTTTTGTTTAGATCTATCGGTTGCAATTATAATCCCATCACTAGATTTATCTGAATTACATGAAGAATTTCGTAGTAAAAGAGAAGCGATATGAGTTGTTTTACCACCAGGTGAAGCACACATATCTATAATATTATCTCCTGGTTGAGGATTTAATAAGTGACCAACTAAAATACTTGGTTTATTTTGAAGAAATATAAGAGATGAAAGATGTGATGATAATGAAGTTGATATCGATGGAGTTCTATATAATGGTTGAGTCATTAATACACCTATTCCTGATAATTCTGATGGATTTGATGAAAATATTTCATGTCTACTCTATATACAAAAGAAAGTTTTTTAAGTAAGTTGAAATTTGTTTATAATTTATTAATTTATATAATTAATTTTACCATAAGCATTTTTCCATTACCGACGAACAATTTCTTTCCAGTGTAATTTTTTAAATAACCTCTACGACAATTTCCATCAATATCTACCATAACAGCAACATTTTCTCCTACTTCAACTGAACGGAATTAAATTTAAATAAGATCTCTTATAAAAAAAAAAAAGAAAATAACAATTAATTAAGATTTACCTGGACGAGCAGCCAATACACCTGGCTATATATTTTGGTAATTTAGGGTAATTTAGGATAAGGGAAAGATGAAAGAGAAAAAAAAAAATAAATTTGTATATACAAATGGAATTAAATATATATATATAAAATGTATAAAATGTTTTCTTTATTTCATATATTATTTTTAATTATTTAAATATCATTACCGCAAATATATCAGCACCACGAAGAATTGAAGTTCCAGTAGATTTATCCACTATAATTTCTTTATTACATGGTATAATATCATTAAAAGGACCATAAATTGGTATATATAATACATCTGGTAAAATTTCATGTTTTATAATTTTAATATCATCCCATTCTTTACTTTTACATTGCTAAAAATATAAAGAAAATAAGAAGAATTGGAAGTAAATAAAGGATATTTTTATTATATCAAATTATTAAATTTTACATTATTTACCTCATTTATAATTTCTTGTAATATAATTGAAATATTATCTCTATCATTTTCATTTTGTGATAATATACGAATATAAGTCATACATGGCGGTATAGATAATGAGGAACAAATCTCTTCCCATTGATTTATTGTATAATAATTTAAAAAATAATCATTAATCTCTTTTGAAAAATTTATTGGAATCAAAGTATTGCATTTTAACATAATAATTGAATTGATACTCTTAAAATGTAATTAAATTTCGGGGGAATTTTAATTCTTTTATCAAAAAAAGTATTAAAAAACGAAATTTTTTTTAAATCTTAATTATCATGTGAAAAGTGTAATCACCAAATTGGGTAATAATGATCAAAAAAAAAAAGAATTATCCAAAAAAATCAATAGAATTAACTACGGAAATTATGAAAATTATTTAATAATTAAAAATCCAAAATGATATTCAATGTAAATTTCATTTTTTCTATACAACTATACAATAAAATTAAATAGAATGTTTCATCATTCATTAATAGAAAGAAATCAAAATGAACAAAAATGGAAATAAGTGCGCATTGTACGTAATCTATAATCCGAACTTTAAATATTATTTAAATATTATACGAATTTTTTTGACAAGTAATTTCTCTTTTAATAAAAACTTCATATTATATAAGAATGATCAACCTCACGTTTACTATTTGTCATCCCATAAGTTAAAGAATCCTTTAATAAACTCCAAGATTAAAGAATAAAGATTCTTTTCAAGTACTCAAATGGAGATCTGATTATTGTAAGTGTTGGTCTTTTTTCTTTTTATGATTCTCACTCCTACACAGTCTCCTTGATTAAATGTAAAGACTCATTTAGCTGGAGTTTATTGATTCCAAATAATTTATGAAATAAAATTTTCCTTACCAATGAGTCCACAATTTTAATAATTTTCAAATTGAATTCCTCAACAGTAAATTATTAATCATTTCCTTAATTTTATTTACGGTTTGTAAAAAAATTGAAATTTATTTCCATAATTGTTTGTAAATTGAAAGAAAATCTATTCTTTTTAATGTGAAACAGTTGAAATTGACAATTGCTAATATTTTTGGAAATGTATATCCATGTCATTGTAGATCACACAAAATCAATAATATTAAAGGATATTTTTGTATTTTTTCGTACTAATTAATTTTTTCTTTAAGAAAATAATTAAAAATAATTATTATTTTCCTAAAGTATATACAATCAATAAATAAAATAAATATACATTTAAATAATAAGAATAAAAAAAAAAAAACATTGTTATCATTTTTTAAGAATTTTATTGAATTTTTATTGAACAAATCATATTCAAGATAATAATCGTATGGAGAGTTTGTATAAAAATAGATCATTTTTATTTTTTTTTACTTATCTCCAAAGTTCAAAATATATCTTGATTTTCTCTTTTAATACAAAATAATAATAAAAAATGTCATTGCGAATTCAATTAATTTTAATCTTAACATTCTTTACAACACATGGTAAAAACATAAATAAATATTCATTATTATCCTTTCAATTATTCCTCTTCTCTTCACTTTTATAATATTAAATATTTTTATTTTTAAATAGGATTAACATATACACTTGAAAAGCGTGAAATTATCCATCAGGAAGAACTTCCGGGCCAGTCACTTCAATCTCTATTCGGTCCAATATTAGTCATATGCTTATTAACATTTGATATGTTTGTATTATTCTCTTGTGCTCTAGCATCAAAGTTAACTAAAAATTGGATCGATGTAGATTATGTCTTTTATAATTTAAATGAAAATATTCAAGATACTACTCAAAATATTCAAAGTGCTAGATCATCAACTTCGACAAATTATGTACTTGATCATGAAGATGAACAATCAACTGTCGCAATTCAATTACCAATTACAAACACCACCAAATCAATAAATCGAATAAATCAACCGCCAGATGAGTTCAATTCAATCATAACAATTCATAACCAAAACGAATTACCACATACTAGATCAATCAGAAAAATTCAAGTTCCAACAATATCGCATACCAACTCAACCAGATTGATTCAAAATCAAACTTCAAATAACAATTCAACTGGAAAAATGCTAACTCAAAAACTGACGTTAATAAATAAACCAATTCGAGAATCATCATTACGTGCAAATACAGTAAGAATGAATCCAAAAATGAAACCATCCCAATTACCAGCGCTTTATTCTTACATATGATGCATGTAATTAGTCAATCTTGTGCGCGGATCCCGTATTGTTTACAGTATTCTTAAATAACTACAGTTTCTTTTTTTTTTTTTAATTCTATTGTTCATTATCGGTTTTCTTGAAGAAAATGATAATGTTAAAATATTGTTTTAATTTCGGTGGGAATGTGGGTTATGATCGAACAAATCTTTTAATGTATACCGGTTGTTATCAGTTGGGGTTATTTATATCTGAAAAAAAAAACCACATTAGCAGGCTGATGCGCTGGTGTTATGTTACTGTACAATACTAATTATAGTAATCAAAAGTAAATAATTCCATTTTATTTTCTATATATTAATATAATATAATAAATAGCATTACTGCATTAATCTAAATCAACTCAATTTTACTTAATAAAAAAAAAAAGTATTGTTCTGTAAAGCCACAACCTAAAAAATGTATTTCGTTCATATCTTGATTCGAAGTGCTTCGCCAGCACTTCTTTCAAACGGTTTCTTTTAGGCTCAGCGTTACTGCGCTTTATTAATTTAAGCAGATTCCAGATTAGTCAAATACGGTCAATCGTACGACCTAAAAATTACGTAATATTAATTCATCTTTTTTAATAAATACCGTGAGAATTGCCTCGCAAATCTAATGGGTAATGATAAAACCTTCATTAATCATTTTTCATGTACTGATAAATTACCTTTTTTTGCTATGCTTAATTTTGATATTATGTGATGTAGAAAAGTCTTTTTCAAAATTTGATAGTACCTTTTAACCATTTTTTTTCAAGTGCTTAAATATGAAAATATAAGGAAATTTTAATGAAATTCAAACTGAAAGAAATACTCCAAGAACATTACCAAAAAATTTTTGGTAACGTGACAACGAATTTTATTCTTTTTTTTTAATAATTTAATAATTTAATTAATAATTGAATAATTGTAATTTATTTGCTGTATTACGTCACTACAAGCCACAAAAAGTTTATGCAAGAGTCTATATCACGATGTATTCAGTAAGGTATATAAAGTATATATATTTAGGCTTCTCACAAACTTTCTCAAATTTTCTTGAAACCTTTCTAAAAAACTTATCGCTTTTACAGAAACGAAATGGTATTCTCACTTAATTGTTTGATTTCAGGACAAACTTCTGATTATATTATCAATGTGCCTATTGGCGATTTTTTCCTCAGCGAAGAAAATACCAAGATCAAATTTACTGATATGACCGTTGCAAACTTAAAAGATCAAATTTCTCGCACAAAAGAAGTTATAGAAGATAAAATAACCAAAATGAATCTTTGGAAAGTCGAACTCACGACTTATGAAGCTGATAACCTTTCTGCAGAAGATATTGAAAGTCATGAAAGGAGCGAGAAGATGGTTACTACGTCGAACCTCGATAAATATTTTAACAATAACGAAGACAAAAATCCTAAAAAGGGGTACCTTCATGTCTTCATAGTCCCCACAGCCACTGGTAAGTGTCTCCCAATGTTTTACCTCTCGAACAAGAAATTTGCAGTCGAACATATTTCGTCATTTATTAATAATATCGAATATGCTTCTGACTGTTATTACAACCATTAGATCTCGGGAGGAAAAGGAGGAACACGGAAGTAGAAAGTAAGAAATGTTCTTGTTTCTATACGTAGCTATATATTTCATTATATCATTCTTACAAATGTTTTTCTACAGCAACAAGTAGAAAGAGAAGAAGTTGGGCGATTAATAGTACCATTGCTAATGAATTGCGTGATTCAGTATACTTTGTTGATACAACGGAAACGAGTGGACCACTTCGTGACATGATTCAGAAAGGAGAATTCGTAGCTTTATATGGTACACGGGCTTCCGGGAAGTCTACACGAGTGGATCAAGCTATTTTTAAGTTGAAAAGCGAAGGCTATGTTTGCATTTAGTAAGTTCTGTTTAGTAAATTGTATTTAGTATAACAGTTGCTTACATTTTTTTTTCGAAACAGTGTAACTTTGGAAGGAGTAAATATTAGTACCACGGATATATTCTGGTCGTCATTGGGCACTAAACTTGCCATTAATGCTCCAAACTATTTTAAATATAATGAAGTCAAATCTTCCGATGATTTCATGTTTAAGTTTCGGAAAAGTAATTGGGAATCTGATGTTGTTTTCTTCATTGACGAGTATGATGTATTACTTGAAGCAAATGATGACATTAAATCCTCATTCCTTGGAACGATCCGTAACATTAAAAATTCAAAAAGAGACTATGCAATATTGTCTTTTGTAGCCATCGGTCCCCTAAGCATTTTATTTCTGAAATCAGACAAAATAAATGTTCCTCCATTCAACGTTATTAAGCCATTTAGGAACCCAAATTTCACTCTGGCACAAGTGGAGTCATTATATAAAGAATATGAGGACGACAACAAATTGACCATTGTTCATTAAGGATATTATGAACAGACGAACGGGTATGTGAAGCTGGCCGGAAGTAATATGAAATCAATACTAAAATTTGTTTTCTGTTATTTGAACAGGCATGCTGGCCTCGTCTGCCTTTGTGGCAGGGCTATCCAAAATAACTTAGAAAAGAAACTTGACGAAAGTAGACGTCTTGACTTCACACTCTGGTCAAACTTTCTTGCCACTTCACGAGTGACAGATATTATGATTAGGTATATCACATTTAACAAGATGGTTAGCGATCTCTCTAAGCCTAAGGCTAAGGAAGCTTTGGACCTTCTCCGATCTGTATTTTTAGGATTTTTCGATTTTGTACAAATTGAAGCCACTGAAGAAAGAAGATTAGCAGATTTCTTAACTACCATGGGGGTGTTCGTGAGGGATAACGAGAACAAGTTTAGTTACAAAATGTCGTCTATGTTAATTGATAGATTGATTCGGCGAGATGTTATTTCTGAATTGTACAATTCTCGCCCAACTGCTCCAGTTCCCCAAACTCATGAAGGCTCTCTGAAAATTATTGATACCTTAATAGAAGCCGTCCGCTGTTTTGACAAAACGATCATTCATAATGCTTTCAAACGATCATGCTTGTAGAAGTGGATGGTTATCTTCATACAAAAGTTCCTCGAGAGAGTGTTTACGATACAGAACTATATAGAATCCTGGTGAATTGGATCGTCAATGAATGTAACTTCGTAGTCACTGGACAGCACCATTTAATAGATCACGTTGATAATGACGAAAAAGGAAAACATTATTATAGTGATATAACCATTATGTCTGAAGATCAAACAGCTGTTCTCGAGCTTTTAGCATCTGCGACAAAAAATGAACTTAACGAACACTTTGAAAGGATATTAAATTATGCGGAAATGCAATCAGCAAATGACATATGGATAGTAAACTTTACGTGCGAAGATAATGCAACAAAGCAACCCCCATTGGCCACCCAATGATGGAAAATTTGAGAGTGTGAATGTCGTTCATTTCTTCCACGACCGAAAGTTTGAAAATATACGAATGAGCGCTAGATATGTAACATTCAACTCCGCCAATACTTTTAGCTATATCATAGATCGTGTCATTTAATTATAATAATTAATTTGATTAGCTTCATATTAAATATTGTGAATATAGAAAATGTAGAAAATATTTTTTTGTGTTACATATTACAATTAAATAATATAATGAAATAAGAGAAGTATATTATAATATTATGAATTGTATATTTGTATTAAATAATTAATATAAATCTACTGTATATAATCAAATAATAAAATATATAATTTTCAATTAAATTCTTATATATATAAAATATTAAGATGTTTAACCAATATAAACAATTTTATAATATTATAATAAATACTTAATTTTAAGAAAATTTATACTATATAAAATTATTAATTTACCGTAAATAGTTGTAAGAAGTAAATATAATGGTTGTAAATCAGAATTACCATCTTTTAAGTAACTACAGTAACTACAATAGTGTAGTATTTACAGCCAATTTACAGTTTACGTTTATAATATTACAACCGCTAAGGGTTGTAATTCAATATATAATAATCGTTACTTACAGCAACCAATATTTTTGATATTTTTTAAGATATTTTAAAAAGTTTTCAGTTATTTAATTTTAAGAAAATTTTTTATGCTATATAAGATAATTAATTTGAATGGTTTTGAAATATTAAGAGTTTTCAATTGCTTAATTTTACATATTTATAGAATTCTAAATATTAAATATAGAATTTATAATTGAATTAATATAAATTATTTTTTCCATCTAGTAATTCAATTTTAATAAACTTTTTTTTATTTTGTAAAATCCATTAAAATCTACAATTTTTTTTATTTTTTTTAAAAAAAAATTGCCTAAATTGAACTACTGGTTGGTAAAATAATCACAAGAAACTATTTTTTAAATTTATCTTAATTTGTTTCTTTTTATTAGTAAAGTTTCAATTAAAAGTTATATAAAAATATTTGAAATCTAATCTTACATTTTTTTTTAATATTGAATATTTTATATTTCTTTTTTTAATACTTTAATTTGAAATATTATATTTATTTTGAAAAAAAAAAAAAAAATTTTTTTTTTTTTTAGAAAAATAACAAAAAGTTAAAAATCACATATATACATAAATAACTACAAGATCATACATGAAAATAAGCGTTTCAGGGCTTTTCAGCCAAAGTTTTAATGTTGTACGAGATTTCTCTGCTTTTATTTTTTACCGTTATATAAGTTCTCATGTTATGTTTACTCTAAATAACAAAAAAAAATAGGGAATCATTAACTAAATTGATTATTTACAAAACGCGAAATCCATGTAAAATGTTTTTAAAAGGTTAATATGTTTCTTTTTTTTTTGAATAAATATGATAAATATGGATAACCAATGAATATAAATTCGAATTTTTTTTGTAAAGTCTACATAAGGGAAATAAAAATCATGAAAAAAAAGAATGAAAAATGAAACAAAAATCATTGACGAAAAAGTAAATTACAAAAAGAAAATGGCGTAAAAATGTAAAATCACGTGTCAGAATTAATATATAATGTACACTTTAAAAGAGATTAAAGAGATTGCTTTTTCAATAGCTATCATTTTTTTCTTTGATCCCTTCGCCCTATTGGCAAAGATAGTAAAGATGGAAAATAAAATTGATATATTCGAAAACTACATTTTGGAAGAGACTCAATTTGAAAACCCTTTAGAAAATAATTTTTTTTTATATTATTTGACATACAATAATGTGCCTTATGATGACAATAAACTTTATAATGATCCCTCGTACTCGCAAGCCTTGTATAATGNTTTTTTTTTAGAAAAATAACAAAAAGTTAAAAATCACATATATACATAAATAACTACAAGATCATACATGAAAATAAGCGTTTCAGGGCTTTTCAGCCAAAGTTTTAATGTTGTACGAGATTTCTCTGCTTTTATTTTTTACCGTTATATAAGTTCTCATGTTATGTTTACTCTAAATAACAAAAAAAAATAGGGAATCATTAACTAAATTGATTATTTACAAAACGCGAAATCCATGTAAAATGTTTTTAAAAGGTTAATATGTTTCTTTTTTTTTTGAATAAATATGATAAATATGGATAACCAATGAATATAAATTCGAATTTTTTTTGTAAAGTCTACATAAGGGAAATAAAAATCATGAAAAAAAAGAATGAAAAATGAAACAAAAATCATTGACGAAAAAGTAAATTACAAAAAGAAAATGGCGTAAAAATGTAAAATCACGTGTCAGAATTAATATATAATGTACACTTTAAAAGAGATTAAAGAGATTGCTTTTTCAATAGCTATCATTTTTTTCTTTGATCCCTTCGCCCTATTGGCAAAGATAGTAAAGATGGAAAATAAAATTGATATATTCGAAAACTACATTTTGGAAGAGACTCAATTTGAAAACCCTTTAGAAAATAATTTTTTTTTATATTATTTGACATACAATAATGTGCCTTATGATGACAATAAACTTTATAATGATCCCTCGTACTCGCAAGCCTTGTATAATGATTACTTTGACCATTTAATTCTTGAGTTCTTAAGACCAAATTTTCCGCCAATCATAAACGTGGAGGAATATGTCAATGAAAATGAAAAATTTAAAAAAATCAAAGATATGAGTAAAATGAACAAGGGGAATGGTTTTATGGTATACCGAAAAAATCTCAATAAACATCTGGAAACATTAGGAGAACGTATTTCTATGCAGCAACTTTCTCCCTTAGCAGGAATAGTGAACCAGAAAATGTAAAAGATCACTACAAAAGTCTTTCAGAAGAAATAAAAAAATTACATAATAATCGAGTAGAGAACTATATAAATCGTAAACGTTCATCAGAAGATGATTATGGAGAGATGAGCAGTAAAAAAATTAAGGATATGACTACAAGGAATGGAGGTAATGCCTTTATTATTTTTAGAAAACAACTTAATGAACATTTAAGATCATTAGGATATAACCTCAATATGCAGGAACACTCAAAGATTGCTAGTTATATTTGGAGTAAACAATCAATGGAAGTGAAAAGCCATTTTAAAGAACATACGGTTCAAATGAAAAAAATGCTCAATGATCAATTAAAGCAATTGTTTTGTAAATCAAACAATGATAATGGGACCGATCATTGATAACGGCTTCTAAAATCAGACAATGATGCGCAATGATGCTCACGACCATTATAATAAAATCTCCAATTATTAACTGAAATCGGACACGAGGCTAAAATCAATCGATGAGAATTCAATCGATGAGAATTTTTTCTTAATTTTTATGTTTAATATATTTACTTATTTCGATTTCTTATTATGTACATAATTTATATTTGGTGTTTACATAGTATTAAGATTTTTTTTTTTTGTTCAATTTTTTGTTCAATAAATACAAATAAATGTCTTTTTTTTTAAATATTATTTACTGAAAATATTATGAATTGAAATATTACAAATTAAATAAAAGATCTTTACATAAATATTTCAGGATTGAATAAACCATAAAGATCTTTATTAATAAGTATTAAGGCAAAATAGCAAACTTGCTAGAACATTTTTTCTGTGCAGTACTTGAACTCTGCTCTGTTGGAGTTTCCAAATCATTAATTTCCATATCAGTTGATGGACATATAGAACACAACTTTCGTGAATTGTCAATACAGTTATAATAGACAATATGCTTACAGATTAAATATACGAGTGGTTTCAGAGAACCTTGAGGTTGGGGGAGATTAGAAAACCTAGAGGAGGAAGGAACAAAGAAAGGTCTTCAGAACATTTAGTGCATCTTAAAGTACTTTTGATTTGTTGAGTTGCTGTACTCTTGATCCCTTCCATTTGTATAGGTGGTGAAGATAGGGTAAACGTTTCCATTAAGTTGGATAAAGGTAAAATTCCACTTGATTGAGAGGTCACTCTAGAATCAGGTATTGGCAAATTGGAAATGATACTAAGAACATCAGCTTGATCTAAGATATCCACATTCTTTCCACAGCCGAAGGCTGGACATGCACTTGAAATGCCAAGAAAAAGTTTTTTTTCAATACAGAGTCTGTAAAAAATATGCCCGCATATGAGGTATGAGAAAGCCTTAAGAGGAGACATTAAAATATCATTGTCACATTCAGAGCATGAATCTAGTTCTGGGAAATCAATATCTCCAACAGTTTCGTCATCAAGACTTTTAAGAATATTATATTCAAGGTTTTTAAGATTAACAAAAGAGGGTCTCTCAGATTCTGAAATACTGCTCTTTTCTTTCTACTTTGTGTGTTGCCAATTGAGCTAATATTGATTTCATCAAGAGTGGTCGCTTCTGTATTAACTAAGCTTTCTTGGTTCTCCATACCTGCCCACTTATCACTCTCGTAGTCAGCTTGCTGGCTAAGGCTAAAGATGGGTTTTTATATCACTTGTAAATTTCGCAGGAGAAAACATTCTTCCGAATTTTCACCAGCAATTATGCATTGCATTTCATCATTCTGTTAATCCCTCTGCAAATTGATAAAAATGATAAAGAATTAGAGCTTGAAATCAAGTTAGGATAAGTCAATTCGAGTAAAATGAATCAAAAATTTTTTTGATTCAAAAAGTACTTGAGTCCAGGACTTGAGTCAGGACCACTGGTCAGAATATTCCATTTCGTCCAAATTTTAAATTGACGAATGTTGGACGAAAGTTGGTCTAAATTTGGCCGATCATTACCAAAAAAATCGTTAAAATGATAATAGGCGATTTGCACAGTTCGCCTGCCACTTGGCAATCACAAATTGGCAAAAATTCATTAAAACATCAGAAATAGAACTATTCGTTAAACTTTTACTAGTCAGAATATTCCATTTCATCCAAATTTCAAATTGACGAATGTACACTCCCTGGTAAAAAGTCTCCGACCACCCTAAAATCAATAATGCCAGGGTTTTTTAATAAAAAATTTTTCATTTATATTAAACTTTATAGTGAAAAACCCTAATTTGAAGTGTTTATTTGCTAAATTGTTAGTAAAATTTCGAAGAAATATTTAATTTTCATAGTGGTAAAAAATTTGACTTTTTAACCAGGACAGATACAACAAAACTGACGCCAGAACTTGATTCTTTGACATAAAAATAGCTTATGGGCCAAAAATCAGGACGATTGGATCAGCAGTTGTTGAGAAATCCACCTCTAAAACCCATGAATTTTTACGAATTTCATATGTAAATCATCATTTTTACCGATTTTTGATGATTTTCAGATGTGGATTTCTTAACAACTGCTGATCCAATCGTCCTGATTTTTGGCCCATAAGCTATTTTTATGTCAAAGAATCAAGTTCTGGCATCAGTTTTGTTGTATCTGTCCTGGTTAAAAAGTCAAATTTTTTACCACCATGAAAATTAAATATTTCTGCGAAATTTTACTAACAATTGAGCAAATAAACACTTCAAATTAGGGTTTTTCACTATAAAGTTTAATATAAATGAAAAATTTTTTATTAAAAAACCCTGGCATTATTGATTTTAGGGTGGTCGGAGACTTTTTACCGGGGAGTGTAGGATAAAAGTTGGTCTAAATTCTGATCATTACCAAAAAAATCGTTGACAGTTTCTAAAAAAAACAGCAAACAATCAATTTTTTATTTTTTGACGAAATTTATCAATTTTTTTATTTATCGATTCCTATTTAATTTAGCATTTTATATTTAATTAATTAATTTATCATTTATTTAATTTATTTAGACTTATTAATTTTATTTAAAAAATATAAATATACATATTTAAAAGAAATAAAAGAAAGTAATATTTCGAAATTGTAAACAAAGATATTCTTCGAAAACTACCTGAAACCTATAAAAATAATAAGAACGGTTAGTATACCATCCCATAAGATTAAAAAAAAACAAAAAACTAAGATCCGTAATACTTATGAACCTTTTGTTCTTTCCTGTTCTTCAGAAACCCACCCAAAACTATAAAAAAAACAAGAACAGTTAGTAACCCGTTCCATAAATTAAAAAAAAATCTAAGATTCATAATATAATATTTACGAATCTTAGTTCTTTTCGTTCTTTGGAAACTATCCGAAACCTATAAAAAAAAAGAATTAGAACGGTTAGTAAACCGTTCTATAATATTAAAAAAAATCTAAAATTCGTTAAAGATTCGTAACAAATCTTAGTTCCCCTTTGAAACCATAAAAAAAACGATAAGTTTCGTAATGAAACTTACCATTTCCACATTCCAATGGTACCCGATCCAGCAAATCCTCAAGCAGGGCCGATGATATTTGGCATTTCACAGAAATTCACATAACTCACAAAATTATGTGATAAACACATTTATTACTCCTGATCACCGCATAATATCACAAAATTCTCAGGGGTTATATATAAAATCACAAAAAAATATTTTTCGATAATCAAAATCTCTTTTTCACTTTAAAAATGTCATTTAGAAAACACACTAAAACTAATAAAGCTAATGCTGTAACAATTTATACAAGAATTAAAGAACATCCAGATGTTTTTTGTGTTGAAAATAGTCTTTTGTTTTGTAATTATTGCGACCTTTCTGTGGAATGGAGACATAAGTCAACAGTAGATTCTCATTGTTTAGGAAAAAAGCACCTAGCGCAAAAAAAAATCTATGAAGCTAATAAAAACAAAAAAAATCAGCAAAGTTTAGAAACAACTTTACTTGCAGCTGAATCCAAAAGAGAAGTTGTAGAAAGTTTAATTCAAGCATTTGCAAATGCAAATATTCCACTAGAAAAAATTAATTATCTCCTCCCTTTTTTTAAAAAATATCTTAAAGAAGGAGGAGCAATTCCTCAAGCTCCAACATTACGTCAATTGTATTTGCCTTCTGTTTTTGAAAATCATACAAAAACTCTCCTTTCAATTTTTAATTCAAAACCTGTTTGTATTATAATGGATGAGCTTAGTGATGATTGTGCACGTAGTGTTGTTAATACACTTTTTGCTTATCGACAAGATACAAAACTGGTTTCTGTTAATTTTTTACAACAGGTTAACAACACAACTATTGGACAAACACTTCTACCCATTTTACATTCTTACAATATATCTCTTAATATTCCACGTTTATTTTTATCTGATTCAGCCGCGTATATGAAAAAATGTTATCGTGAAGTTTTAAAGCCAGTTATGCCTCAATTAATTCATGTGCCATACCCAGCACATATTTTAAATCTCATTGGGTAAGGAATTGCATAATTTTTTTAATTAAAAGTGAGTTACATATTAGCGAACTTTATAATGAATATTTTTAATGTAATTAGAGAAACCTGGAGAGATTTCTCACAATTTTTACCATTAAAGACTTTTTTAGCTAAAATCAAGGAATCATTTGTCAAATCACCTGCACGAAGGAACCGTTATATAACTCATCTTAAAATGAATGGCATTAATTCTCCTCGCAAAATTCCACTTCCAAATCAAACGCGGTGGAATAGTTGGTTTCGAATGGTTTTTTATGCAAAAAATCACATCCAGTATTGGGCTGATTTTTTTAGACGTGAATATGAAGAAGAATCACAAAATGAAACAGTAAAAACTATTTACACAACATTACAAAATTTACGAGATACTGGCATCATTACAATTTATATTTACTTTATTTCAATTTTTGCCAAAGAGTTTGTACAGGATTTGGATTTTTTTCAACAACAAAACAAACCAGTTTTTCCTTTTGTTGAAGGCCGATTACAGCAACTTACAGCATTTATTGAATCAAATATTACTGCACCTTATTTTGGTTCTGAAATTGAAAACATAATTCAACAACATTTATTTAACCCTGATGATTTTTACCCAATATTTCGTCAAGCTTTTCAAGTAGCACATGACAAATTTTCAGCTCACATTCCTAATCATCCTGCACGTTCACTTTTTAATGCATGTCAGGTTTTTAACCCACAATATATTCATTTAGGAAATATTCAAAGAAAGGATATTCGTTATTATTCAGCAATTATGGAACTTGATAATCCTTCTAACAGTCTATTATGTGAATGGGCAGTATATTGTGGGTTGGAATTTAATGAAAATTTGGATGAAACTAATTTAGGTGATTATTGGAAAAGTTTATCAGTTCGTTTGCCAATTCTTTCTAGCATTGCATTAGACTATATTTGGTTACCAATTTCAAGCTGTGCAGTGGAACATAGTTTTTCTTTATATAATACACTTTTAGATTCTAATCGTCAAAGTTTATCTGAAGAGTCATTAAAACAACTTAATATGTTGTATTTTAATTGATCAATTACAAATAGATAAAGAAATAAATGAAATAAATTTTTTTTCACACATAAATTCACATATTTTATTAAAATGCGCCACAAAATTACACATAATTTATAAAAATTTGGTATCACCGCAAATCACAAAAAAATTTTTTATCACACACAAAATTTACCTTTTAGCGCCGCAAAAAATCATCGGCCCTGTCCTCAAGAACCCTACAAGAAAAGAAAAGAAACGTTAGAAAACGTTTCTATTAACAAATAAAATAAATTAAATTAAATTATGTTTCGCAACGTTTTGTTGCGAAACTTACCATTTCGGCATGTTCGATATTCTGAAACCGAAATCTACAAAAAAAGAAACGTTAAAAAACGTTTCTAAGAAAAAAAATTAGAAAATGTTTCGAAGTTACAACTTCGAAACTTAATTTCCAAAATACTGGATACTGGAAAAACCTACAAAAAAAAGAACACAAAACGTTAGTTACGTTTTGTTAAAAAAAATTAAGTTTCGAAGTTGCAAATTCGAAACTTACCATATCTAACGCCTAAATTCGAAGCCGAAACCTAAAAAAGTAACAAAAGAATGTTAGACGTTTCTATTTAAAAAAAAGTAAGAATTAAGCGTTGCGAAACTTACCATCTTTATTTCCAGTAGTATCGCTCATTCACAAAAATCCAAACCTACAAAAAGGAATAAAAAAATAAAACGTTAGAAAACGTTTCGATAGAAACAATAGCTCATTAACAACACTCCTCCATCCTTACCGAAATCCATCTCCGAAGATCCAAAGTGCTGACCGTCTGAAAAAAAAGAAAATTAACGAAATGTTAAAATCATTTCGTTAAAAAAGATGTTTTTCTTCTAAAAAAACAATATTCACCTTTCAAAATCCAAAGAACTGACTCGCTTACAAAATAAAAAAAATGAACTGTTAGTAAAGTTCGTTAAATTAATAAAAAATAAAATTACAAAAAACAAACCTTCTAATATTACCATCAGAATTCCACGCGCCTAAAGTGAAAACGCATAACAAAGTAATTCATTATTAAAAAAAACAAAGAAATGAAGTTCACATTTCTTTTTCGAAATTTAGGTAATAAATTCTTTCTCGCTCCAATAGAGCTCAATCCGACGTATTTACCTAATAGTCTGATGTCACCTTTATGGTCCTCGTTAGGTCCTATTGATCGTGACATATGCCAATTCTCTAAGACATCACTGATTGTTGTACCTTCAGTGATTTTTTAAATAATCATACTTTACGGTCACTATTCGATAATTTCAAGGTCGACCAGATCCACTGGCCTCTCACTCAAGCTTGGCTACAGCATAACCACACGGATGACATCTGCAGTTCAAGAAAGTCTGCATATGATGTTTTCAAGCTAAAAAATCTCAACCACATTCTGCCTTGTGGCGATATTCTATCATAAACACTATCCCAAGTTAAACCTTCGCCCGTTTTTTACCTGTGAAGTGACATATTGTATGGTGTATCGATCACCTGAAATGTGCAGAAAGATATTCTTGCTGAAATAATAGCGATAGTGTTGTACATTGAATTAATACCTGTGATTTCTTTTTTAGGTTTTGCACAGAATATCAACCAGCTCGAAAGCGCGCGCATAAGATGAACAAGAGAAAGAAAGAGAAGTGAGGATGCTTTTGATTAAATCTATGGCTGGCCAGGACTGGCACTTCTTACTGTACACTCTCAGAGTCATATCAAGATGCAGTAAGTTGCCTCACGCAATCGATTTAACCGATAATGCTTTGAAAGGGGATGGAGGAGTATCATACTTTGTGGCTGCTCCTATGATTCGTTATTTATGAAAAGATCCGATCTAGTTATTTGATCTGATAAACGATCTATAATCAATTAATAAATAATAAAAATCAATCTACATTTTTAAAGCTTTCTTGGAAATAATTATTATTAAAAGAACTTAACTGAATAAATTAAAGAATCTTTTATTATTATGATAAGGATGTGAGGAAGGTTTTGGGCATAATCGTTGGTTTGTTAAAGGATAGTGCGTGTGCGGATAAATCCCTTGAGATATTCGAAGAAATTGTCTGAAAAAAAGATAGAAAATGAAACGTTAATATACGTTTCGTCAAAGAAATATTCAGAGAAAACTGAATTTCAACATTGTTTTTGGCCATCTAAAAAGAAACCCGAATTTCCAAGCGTCCGACGGCCGAAATGAATTACATTTTCACAAGAGATCCGCTGAAATGAAAATGTAACCTAAAAGATAAATTTATAGTTTTTTCACTTCTAGAAAACGTTTAATTTAAGTGAAGGGAAGATTTAAAAAGAGGAGGAAACGAAAGAGAGAGGAAAAGAGGAAAACGAAAGAGAGGGAGAGAAAGGGAAAGAACGAAAAAATGGGAAAAGGGAAAAATGAAAGAGAAAAGGGAAGTTTCATTAAAAACAAGTTTAAAAAAGTTAAAATACATGAATACGTGATGCGACTGACGCGTGATACGGCTGATACGTGTAATACATAATTTTATATTTGGTATGATGTCGATATTTATCCCTTAAAAAAATTTCCTGATATAATGGCCGATTTTTAATAATGACCAGTGTTCAGCAATTTTTTTTTAACAATTAGGTGATTGGTGAATTTTAAACGGTTCTTAAGACTGGAAATAGGTGATAAATCGGCAAACCTAATTTTGGTCGATTTTCACCCAGTTTTTAATGCAGGCCGAAACTTTACTGAAACTTCAGCCTACATTACCGAAATTTAGCCGTCATGGTTGATTGCCGATTTTTCTTATTTCAACTAGTGGACTTGAGTTAACTCGAATTAATTTGAGTCATAAGTTAAAGTGCAGACCAAAAAACTTATCCATAATTCTACACAGACCATTATAGTCATAGTGCCAGCAGGAATTACAAATAGGGTACAGCTGGCACTATCAACTATGTGATCCCGGTTAACTTGAGTCAAGAAATTTCTAACTCGAATGCGAGTTCAACTTGAATCAACTCAAGTTACATGAGTGCGAGTCTAAGCTCTACGAAGGATAAGCAGATGGAGGATTCCGCTTACTTATAAGATAGGTCACCCCAGGTCAGTGTTGTCATAGGGACGGGACATGTCCATGGACGGGACGGGATGGGACAGTCCAGGACACGTCCAAAGATTTTAGCAATGTCCGGGACATTTGGACATTAAAATCACGTGATCTTAATTATAAATTATAGCCCATTAGGTGCTGTCTTGATAAGACAAATTGTAAACTTGGACAATTTTTGGACGGGACGTGGACGGGACATGGACGGGACAATGTCCGGGACATTAAAATTTTGGCGGGACATGTCCCATGTACAACACTGCCCCAGGTCTAAGGTAAAAATCATATATAAAATTCTTTGCAGATTCTACTATAAAAGAAAATTTTATGTTACATTGTTATAATTTTTTTCCTTTTTAGCTAATTAACCAATAGAATTAAGAAAAAAGTAAGGTAAAAACTATTAGTAAAGGGCCAATTTTCTACAGTGACCTTTATTATAAGTAAGCGGAATCCTGCAAATGGTCTCAGTAAGACCTGCATAAATATTTCTAATTTCATGTGTACGTAAAAATAATGATTAACAGAAAATACCTATATTTGAATATTATTTTGTTAGTATGATATTAGTGTGAATCAGGAAGAGACAGCTAGAGGTGCTAAAATATGACAAAAATAAATGCAAATCTAAGTCAGAGAAAAAAATAATGTGAATATATATGTGGATCTTATATCACACAGCTCCTATTCTTCAGCTAGAATTTTACTGATATATTCTGCACATTTTAGGTGATCGGTTTCATCTAACAAATCAGTTAAACATCTATGCTTTTGTTAAAGCGTAACTCCAAATGGTCAGGCTGATTTAGAATTATATAAAATTCAGTAATAAAGCTTTATTGCTATGCAATTAAATTTATACAACAAATACAGTTAATTTTTACATATATTGTTATTATATTATAATCTAATTATTTGTTACGATTGAAAAAAATGCAGATTTCTACATTTGACTCTAAATATCTAAAAGCATATTGTAAAATAAAATACTAGCAAATTATCATGATGAATGATTGATCCAACTGTGTTTAAGTGTCAAACCCACTGTTAACTTTTTTGATTTTAATTCTTCCACAAAACCCTTCCCTTGATTTGATAATATCCGACTACTAAGCGCTTTTAGCATCTTTTCCAACTGATACATTTCTGATGTGGTTATATAATAGCCAGCAGTTGTAAGCGTATTATCATCATAGCCACTTAATTTTTCACAAGCATGTCTATTGTAAAATCCATGCTCAAAATCGATGAGAACATAGTTAAATTTATCAGGAGATTTAGGAACATAAACAACATTTGATAACTGGATATTGCGATGAATGAAGTTTCCTTGATGCAATCTGGCTAACCCAGTGAGAATACATTTCATCATTTCCCGTATATTATTTTTATTTTTCAGTTTAGATACGCAAGGAATACCTCGAGTTTTCACTACAACCCTATATATCCCTTTACTTTTGTCAAAGAGAAACCCTTTTTTGACTTGAACAAGCCCTTGGTGACCTTTAGCATAATTGTACATTTTTTTTAAAAAATTTACCCGATTATTCACATTAGTTGCATATAGAAGATCTACCTTTAAAATAATCTTTTCAACTACATCGCTTAAAAACGTAATAAAAGAATGACCTAATTTCTGTCATTTTCCAAGAGGTATAAGAGTATTAGGGATGTTGTCACTTATAATTAAGATGATACGAGCAATGTTTACAACTGTGCAGAGAATAGTAATTCTATCCACAAGGTTGCTAGCATTAAGTTCGCTGGTAAGTGGGGATAATATACTTGGTTTTTTCTTAGCTTTTATTGAATCATCAATTGCATAGAATTACACAGTTGACCCTGCGACAGCATAGCCGATCATAAACTGAATTTTACTAAAGCATATGGGATCAAGTACATTAAATTTCTCTTTTAATTCTTCTACAGCTGTGTTAAATTCACTGGAACTTGCCTTCTCCTCACCCTTAAATAGAAGTAGTTTTTTTATCCAGCATAGAAAATCAGGCTGTTTTGAACCTATCATAGTAGTTTCTGAATCAGCTTTATCTTGATCAATTTCGATGGGCAAAGCTCCACAAATATATTTATTAAAAGTTTCGAGTGGAACTCTAATCATAGCATCTATTGGATAATATAACATGCTCTCAGATTTGTTTTCAGAGAATTTCATATCAATTGTAAAAGCATTACTGATATTTTTCGCTATTATACTTCAACGTTCATTCTCTGTCATACAGACATAATCTTTCATTTCAGGATAAATTTGCTCCTCATCAGAAGTCACAGGCCATTTTTGTAGAAGCTGTCGATTAATAAGAGATTGAAGTTCTTCTGCCTTGGTTGGGATTGTTTCAAATCTTTGAATAAGCTCTCCGCAGATTTTAGCACTATTATCAGCTAAATCTGCTTGGTCATAAGTCCGCTTAACTATTTATAAGGAATAAACAAGGTTATAAATAGAAAGTGCAATATCAGAACATGAGACTCTCAAAAAAATAAAGCTAGGTCATGTGTTAATTAAATTTATTACGACTTACTTACCAGTATCGGGTTGCTCTACAATAACTGAATGTGTTTTTTAGACAGGTTTGACGATAAGAAGCAAGAAAGAAAAGCACAAGAATAAGTAAGTATTCGGTATTGTTGATGAATATAACAATACAGACAAATCATAGGAACATACCCAGAGCGAACTTCTTTGATAGACCTTTTAAGTATTTAAGTTTAGCACTATTTGTTTGCCAGAGATTACATAAGTTTTTCACCTCAACTAATATAGTATCATTGCCAGTGAGATATATGAATAAATTAGCTTTTTCATCCTCACTTAATTGATCAGGTTCTTGATCGAGACTAAAGCTTTCCTTGAACGGATAATATCCTAGGATTAATTCGGATTATCCTATTATCCATATTATATTCGGATAATTGTTATCCGGTTAACCAGATCTACAAATTTAAAAATGGATAAATCCTAGGATTATCTGAATTATTCTAGACTAAATATATTGATCAACATGCATATTGCATAAAACTTTATCTTTTTTGCATAAACGACACATTTTTTTTTCATTTCAATAAAAACTAGATTAAAGAAACAAAGAACTTGTTAACAAAGCCAAAGTATATCATTTCCAAATATGTTAACTAATAGAACTTCAAAGAAGCATTCACGGTCTGAAGATAATCATAATATTGATTATATTGATGTAGAAAAGTTTATTCCTAATTTGAATAATACAAACGATAATATTTTAGAAAAAAAAGCAAATATATTTGAAAAATTAGAAGAAAAATCTGATTCATTAAAGGTTCAAGTCAAAAACAAAGGAGGTTCAAAACTTCGCAGTTGGATATATAATTGGGGTGAAAGAAAAAATCATCCAACAGATCCAAAAAAATTTATATTTGAATGTAATCAAATATTAGATAACGGTGAACTCTGTGCTACAAAAATTGAAACAACAGGTTCAACTGGTAATATTATTAGTCATCTTGGACGAAAGCATAAAATTTATGAACATTCTACACCTTTAACGGCTACATCATCTCTAAAACAAGAAAAAATTGATCGTTATACCATTTCATAAGATTCATCTCCACAAATGACACAAGATCGACAAAAATATTTGGAAACACTTCTTTTTGAATGGCTTGTTTTAGATTTTAAACCACTTTATCTTTTAAAATCTCCTTCTTTTCGTCAATTTATTAATGCATTAAATAAAAATTTTGAACTTCCAACTGATAAAGAATTTCGAAAAAGAATTTTTGAAGCATCTGAATTTTCAAAAAAACAATTAAAGCAATATATCCATGAAAATTCAAATTCAGTTTCTCTGACCTGTGACCTTTGGACTTCTCGCAGTAAGCAAGGATTCCTAGGTATTACATGCCATTTTATTACACCAGATTTTGAGATGAGAGAGATAACTTTGGCTATTCAATATATGCCATATCCACATACTGGAGATGCTATTCAAAAGACATTAGAAAAAGTTATCTATGAATGGGAATTACAAGACAAAGTTTTTTTTTGTAAGACGGACAATGCTGCCAATATGAAAAAATGTTTCAACCAAATTACTTTGTTACGGCGATTATCATGTACTGCCCATACAATTCAACTAGTTGTTGGGAAAGGATTGCTTATTGCTGAAGTTTTGATTGCCAGTGCAAAAAGATTAATTAATTTTTTCACTTCGCCTAAACAAAATAAACGCCTTTTGGATGCACAAATAAAAAATTCTGAAGAAAATCCAGAAGAGGAAAATGATTTGCATGCAGTTTTTTATAGGGCAATTACAGATATTGAAACACGTTGGTCAAGCACATTTATAGCATGGGAAAGGTTAATAATTCTAAAACCTTATATTGATATAGTTATTACTTCATTAGATGCAAGCAAGGATCGTAATGCTAAAGACGATGCAAAAAGATTAAAGAAAATTAATCTTACTAATAATGAATAGGATGCTATAAGAGATTTACTTGAAATTTTAGGACCTTTTGCTGAATTGACGGAAAGGCTAGAGAGTACGAAGTAAGCAACAATGAGCTATATATATCCAGGTATTACTAAACTCAAAAAACTCTTTCATCCAGCAAGAGAATTTTGTAATAGTGATATGAATTTAGAAACAAATGATGATGCATTTGAAGAACATCAATTTGAAGAAGTTGATGAAGATGATGAACCTGGAGCTAGGCGAAAAATTCAAATAAATACTCCTGTTAATACCTTCAACCTTTTGGATAAGATTAAAGCCAATCTTTATAAAGCACTTGAAAATTACTATGAAGTGATTGAGAAGGAAGCATTAATCGTAGCATTATTAAACCCACGTAAGAAAAAGATGAAATTTGCAACAAATGATCAAAAGGAGTTAGCAAAGACTAGCCTTATTGAAGTATATGAATTGGCAAAAAATAATATTAATTTTCAACAAGAATCACATGGACCAAAACCAAAAAAAAGGAAAGTATCTAAAGCACATGTTTATAAAAAAACCTTATTTTCTGATGATGAGTTTAATGATAATCAAGTTGAAGATAATGAAGTTGAAAGATATTTAGTGATGGAACAAGCACAAAATGATCAGGATCCTTTGAAGTGGTGGGATGTCAATAAAGGCCAATTTCCTATTTTGGCTCAACTAGGACGTAAATATTTATCTATTCAAGCAACGTCAGGAGCGAGTGAAAGAGTTTTTAGTGATGCTGGGCTAATAATGTCTGCTAAAAGGACAAGTATAAAGGAGGATTTGTTTGAAGCTTTAATTTTTTTGAAAAGGAATGGTGATTTAATAGGAGGGATATTTAATAATAATACATAGTACATGGTAATATAATAGATAACGGTAAAATTTTACGCGAAGGCAATAAAAAATTTCCATCTATATACTATATGCTGCTTTTTATTTTTTTTTACGTGGATACAACGAAAGTGGAATATAATTAACCAAAATAATTAATAAAAAATAATGAGTTGATAGAAAATTTTGAAAAGGAATCTCTACCTTCTTCACTATAAAAATAAACCTATACACAAGTGTTTTCGTCCTATTTTATAACTAAAATCTAATTTAGAAATAAAATAAATAAAATCTGATTTCACCACGCAACATAATTACTAAAGATATGTATTTATAGTAATGTTTTTCCTTTCTGAATTTCTATTGCTAAATTAAAAAAAATAAAAAAAAAATAAATAAATAAATCAAATAATAATATCGTAAAAAATTATTATTATTGATTTATACCTTGGTTATTGATCAGAATCGTAAATCTTTAACGTTAATATTATTAAATATTAATTCATGAATATATTCAACTTGTATTTCGAAATATTACACTCGAATTTTATCCAACGTTATATATTTATTCCTTAACCCTTGAAATTAAACAAAGTGTGAAAAAAGAAAATTTTATAAATGATTAAATTATGAAAAAAAAAAAATATTCTCGTTCAACTGACCTTTTTTGCCCATTAAAATATGAAATCTTTAATGTACTTCATTACGAAACTATGAAAACTCAGTAGAATTCTTCAAATACAATTTCCTACTTCTACATTACTTTTACTACAAATTCTTTCACACGCATGAACCTCCTAAAAAAACTTTTATTATTTAACATTACACAATAATCATATGAATATCCATTATCCTAAGATAATTCGAATTATTCTAGGATTATTTATTTGGATTATCCATTATCCTATTTAATGGGATATCCGAATTTCAAAATTTCCAAACGGGTTATCCTATATTATCTATAGGGTAATTTGGTGAAAAGCTCTAATCGAGACTTTGAACAATATTAAGAATATTAATAAGTGACATTATTTTTATCTATGATTTTTGCGAGTTTTACAAGTGGTTTGAAAAAGAAAGATTTTGGGTGATTGATATATATATAAAAAATTGATTGTTGCACAGATTGATCTGACTTATCAGTTGATCAGTTACGCAATGACTAAATACAGATATCTGTCACACCAGATTACAAAAATTATACTTTATAATACTTCATATAAAAAAAGTACTAATCTTTGAAATCATGATGTGTGTCACAGTCTCAGGATTTCATAGTTTTTACATATCAGGTGATAAGCAAGAATGGTACTTTATTAATACATGCAAAAATAAATTCAAGTTTCTATGCTACAATTGCAAACTTAAGTTTATTGTTTGAAGTGTTGCAGGTAAGACAATATTCCAACTTATCTTGGGATAGCAACTTTGCTAACTCAGGATCATAAGAAAACTGATTCCCATTTTTGCAGTACCATGAGTCATGTAATCCATAATTCCCATGTTTTCCATCACAAATGGGACATGGTGAGCTCTATGGTTGAGACAATGTAAAATCATAATTATCAATCCTTTTGAAACTATTTCAGAATTTCAAGTATGTGAAATGCTCTAAGACGGATTTAATAATTAATTCTGAATTGGATCTGGCTTCAAAAATGATAGGCACTTTTTTTTCACATTGCTCAGAAAATAAATAGGATATTTTGTTTTCTGGCTTTGAATTTATGAGAAGGTGACCTTCTGATAATTGCCATGGCTTATGTCAAGTTTCTTTTTTATATTTTTTGTATAATTTAGAATGAATCTTATCTGTCAAAATACTTGGTAACCCACTTAATTTGGCATGCCAATCCAGATATTCAAAAGTTAATATTTTATCAGACTTGGTCATGTTGCCTTTTTTTTATAATTGCAAATCAATTTAATTAGGTAATAGTTGACGTGTTAAAAAAATATCACATAATAAATAATAAAGTATCAAGTTAGCAAATGTAGTCATAAAGTGACCTGACTATGCAACTATCTCAATTTCGCGCTATTCACACTTAATAAAATAGGATCTAGCTTTATATCTACCTTCTATACTTTCATCATCATCATAACCTAACTCGCATAATAGGCACGATGTCTCATCAGTGATCAGTAATTCCATAATAATCAAAATTTTTGCTATTAAATTCTTTATATAAAGTAGGATATTGGTTCAATGTCTTGTTGCAAAAATAGGAGCGATCATAAGATTAAGATGCAGACAATATATTTGCGATCAACACCTCATCGCCACAGAAATCTTCCTCCTTGAGATCTGTGAGATCATTATCATCTGCCTTAGCTGGAGTAATTTGAGGTATAAATGGTGTATTTATCTCAGGCAATTTTTTTCTGGGACGGGCTGTTTCAGAAATTTTGGACACATGACCAGTTTCTGGAGATAACTTACCATAATCTATGATCTTTTAAAATTGCGTATCAGTAAGCTCTGAAATGGAATTTACGCTATATAAATTAATATACTTGATCTTATTTAAACGCACCTTTTCAAATAATTTATAGTTTTTTTCAGCTCTCTGGATTTTCTTACACAAGCTATCCTGTGATACATAGGGTGTGGAATGTCCGTTACAGTCCAGTTAAAGTCCTAGGACTTATTGGTCCTGGTACACGAATAGACCAGACTTAGTCAAAGACTAATACCTTGGACTGAGTCCGGACTAAGTCCGAACTATTGCTTTATTATATTTTAT